TGCCTGGTCTCCCAGAAGTCCTCCTCACCTAGTCTTCATTCCAGCCAGGCTGAGGGCTTCCCTGCTCCCTGAACTTTTGAGCTCAGCTTCTGCTACATTCTTCACCTGGATGATCCTGCCCAGCATCATCACTGTGTGGGCCCTGATACACATCTCAGGGGTCACACTACATCTAGAAATGGTTCATGATTGCAACCTCTCTGTCACATGAATCTACATTGGTATTGCACTTGAGACCAAAGACCCTGACAATAATGATCCCTCTTCTCCACCTCTCTGTCATACTCATCCCCACCCAGGTGTCCATCTCCTTTCTTGGACCACCCTCGGTTTCTCCTTTGGCCCAGCCGGAGGCCATCCTCAGCTCATGGAGAGTATCTACAACCACAGGTCCCCCGTGAGTCACAGGTTAGCACAAACGTATTCCTGGAAGATGGTAGAGCTGCCCTGGCACACCGTGCATCAAATGTCCTGACCTGCCCCCCAGGACAGCGCTCTGTGCACTCTCCACACTCTCGTGGACTCTACATTTCTGGAGCCTCGCACCCTCTGTCTCTCCTTGACTAATTGCTACAAGGCTACAGTACTCTACAGTGAAAACACAGCCAACAGATCTCTAGAATAAACTCACAGGAATACAATCCAGTGAAGGACCCCATCTGCAGAGCTTTGGGAACGCCTGTCTTTTGAATAGCCACTGCCATTTCTGTAAAATCCTTGTTTAGCCATAGCGTTCCCCTTTCCATAGTGGGCTTCATACTGAAATATCCCAGTAGTGTGTGATGAACACAACTTCCTTCTGTGCTGGTGACTGGACGGCCTTCCCCAGCAGCATAGCTTTCCTCCCCTGATGCGGTTGCCATGGTTACCACAGTGCTGTGTCCTCCCAGCCTCTGAGGTAGGAAGCAGAAGTGTTCAGAAAGTGCAATACACTGCTGCCTTTTTCTTGCCTCTTTTTCTCCACTTTTCACAAACTCCTAGCTTAACTAGTCACATGTAAGAAAGGGAGTTAGTACACAAAAGCCCCTTTTCTCTTCTTTGTATTCTGTACTGATTTAAAGCCCCATCCTCAATCCTCCTGTTATCTGCCAGGGATCTTCACAACCATGCATCCTCTGAGACAGTAGTAAGCTAACAGGCACCTGCGTTGTCAGATTTACCGGTTTCCGTGGCTCTGTGAAGCGCATGCTTGGTATCATTGTTGTTGCCTATGGAACTGCTGATTCTGTTTATGTATGCATAGAAACTGAAAGCCTGTGGCGAGTGGGGTTGCTTTTTGGAAGAATAAAGAGACTTGAAGAGGAAACGTGTCTGAGTGAATTTGTTCACCCTCAGAAACTTTTTAGCCAGTTTTTGCTCACTGTAAGCATCATGTTCTGAACACTGAGGGGGTGCTGAGCCTGGATCTCAGAGACCCCTGATAACTAACCCTCTATCTGCTTGCAAAAGAAACTACCAAAACACTTCCAAAGCACTGGGAGGGCAAGAAAATTTAAAGAGTAGTCCTATAAGGCAGAAATTCTTTGAGACATGTTTATCTAACTTATGATTTAGTAGACAGATAGAACACAGGACCAGATAAGACCTGAGGGACAGTTCTCAGCAAGGGCCAGTGAGGTGACCTCTGTCTTTCCTTTAGGGGGAAGTTTAGGCTTGTGGTTTAGCTGTGTCATTGACCTGGGGACTTGACCCCAACAGGCTGGGATGCAATTATGCCGAGGTAGCTGTATGGTGCTGGGAGTTGCTCTGGGCACCTTCAAGAGTGACGAGCATCACACTGTCACAGCTCGGTCCTCAGTTTCCCACTCTCCTCCTCTGTGCTTCCTAGACCCCCACACCGGCTCTTGGCAGAGTTGCATTGGAACAATGGGATTTGTTTATGGGTTAGAGCCAGAAGGTGGTTAGAGAGGAATCTCTTCTAACTCAGAGGAGACCCACCTGTGGCCCTCTGTCCTGCTCTGGGGAACACATAGGGGAGACACCTAGCACCAGGCTGAGTTTCTTTTACCACTCAGATGAAGATGCTGCCTTCCTGTAGCTGAGGCTTAGAAGGGAAGTCTTGGTAGACTAATAGGTAAAAGGGTTGGGGAGCCACTCAGGCTTTATCATGAGAATATAGCAGCCTCATGTCTCTACAAGACAGTTACTGGGTTTAGCAAATTAAGTTACAAGATGGCCAGGCCAATTTGGTATTCAGATAAGTGACTTTTTCAAATGCACAGATAGCACCATGTACTGCTCGGATTATACACAGACAGCGCCATGTACTGCTTGGGATATACACAGGTAGCACCATGTACTTCTTGGGGTATACATAGATTTTCCTGAATCCTAGGAGTCCTGGGCCTCTTCTGTTTTCTCTGGAGGCCCTACCAGGAGAGAGGCCACAGGGACAGCCCAGTGGGAGAGCACTGCCAGACTGCTTACCAGGTGACGGTGCTGGTTTGATTCTCTCCATGGTTGCTCGTGTTCTCCCAGGTTGATGGTGTGGTTGTCACAATGGGTACCACGATTGTCGTTATTTCAGTTGAAATTTCTGGGGCTAAAGATACAAACAAAACATGGTTCACTCCTCCTGAGGAGTCCAGCTCTGGGCATGGCCTAAAGTGATGTGGGAGTGATTTCTTATTAATAAAGAAACTGCCTAGGCCCATTTGCATTTGATAGGCCCACCCTTAGGTGGGTGGAGAAAACAGAAGAGAATTCTGGGAAAAAGAAGCTGAGTAAGAGTCGCCATGGTTCTCCCACTCCAGACAGACGCAGGTTAAGATCCTCCCTGGTAAGCCAGCTCGTGGGCTACACAGAATATTAGAAATGGGACTACGCCCATGTTCCCAAATATTGTTTATAAATGTTCACAAATATTCTTTTACATTTAAAGGGGGATATGATATAGATATGAATATTTTGCATTGGTATGGATTTTATGGTCAATTTTGTTATCTATATATGTATTTTTGATCTTGATTAAGGTATTGTGTTGTGTAGTTCATTTTAAAATGTAATGTATAATTAGGAAATATAGGTTGTTAATGGATAATCATCGCTAATACTTAAGCTTGTAGTCATGTTAGTTAGATTTTCTAGATATATAGAGAGATATTTTAGTTAGATAGGCATTCTTCATATCTTTCAAAGGCTGCAGAATATGGCATTTAAGATATTTTAATAACTTAGGGTTTTTCATGACAATGAGACACATTTGCTCCTGGCAGCACCAATCTATTTCAAGAGGAAGATGGGCATCGAAGAGAATCCTTATGGAGTTTGATAGCCATTTGGGCAAGAAACTGCTCTTGCCTGGACTGTTGCATAAACTGGACACAGAGAACCCGCAGAGAGAGGACTGCTGAACTTGCCTAAAGGTGAGATGACCTTTTGGGGTTCCTGCTTCATGAAAGAGTCTGTGAGACATTCTGCAGGACACAGCAAAAAGTGACTGAACTGTCTTTGGAATTTCTTGCTTGATGAGAATGTCTGCTGGATACTATGGGCCTGTAGGCCGAAGATGGATGCCCCAACGGTACAGAGGAACTTTGGGTGACTGTCCAGGCAGCGAGATGTCTCTGTCATTTCTAGAGTTTTCTTATTTCTTGTTTGATAGGTAATATTATATCCTTCTGGAGTCTTTGATGGAGTTGAAGAATGGTTAGTTATAGTTTTCCTTAGTTATGATAAGAGATAAAATAGATATAAATATTGTAACTGTAATTCTTACTTGATAACTGTTTTGTTATATGTAATTTTACTATGTTAAAGTTAAAGCCTTTCTTTTTTGTTTAAACAGAAAAAGGGGAAATGATGTGGGAGTGATTTCTTATTAATAAAGAAACTGCCTAGGCCCATTTGCATTTGATAGGCCCACCCTTAGGTGGGTGGAGAAGACAGAAGAGAATTCTGGGAAAAAGAAGCTGAGTAAGAGTCGCCATGGTTCTCCCACTCCAGACAGACGCAGGTTAAGATCCTCCCTGGTAAGCCAGCTCGTGGGCTACACAGAATATTAGAAATGGGTTAGAACAATATGTAAGAGCTAACCAATAAGAAACTGGAACTAGCCGGGCCAGGCAGTGTTTGAAAGAATACAGTTTCCGTGTAATTATTTCTGGGTATAAACTAGCCATGCGGGCGGCTGGGTGCCGGGGACGCAGCCCTGCCGCTCCTATTTCAACACTAAAGCTTTTCCACTAGGAATCGAGGAGGTTGCTCTGCAGTCACCACCCAAAGCTTTCCACTAATTCCTTCCCAAAGAAAGATGATGGACAGGCAGAGCAGCAAGTCTCCTTCAACACTCGCTTCCTCGGGGCTCACTCATCACTGTCTGGTGGGCAATATACAGAAAACTCCAGCTTTACATATTTCGTCTATTTTTTGAAAAAAATATGTATTTATATATCTACGGGTGTTTGCTTGTCAGTATCTATGTGCACCATGTGCATACGGTGACCATGGAGGCCACAGAGGCCATCAGATCCCCTGGAACTGGAGTTGAAGATGGTTCTAAGCTACCATATAGATGCTGGGAACCAAACCCAGTCCTCTGGAGAAGCAGCCAATGCTCTTAAATACTGATCAATCTCTTCACAGCCATCTTTTCTATTTTCTTGGTTGTAGTTGTGTAAACAGACATAAATCTAATCCATATTACTCTATGTTGCCCAGAGAGAGAGAGCTTCTGTGGCTTCTTCTCTTTTATCTTAAAGGTATGGGGGCGTGGTGGGATAAGAGGGGCGGGTCTCAGCATGGGAGTTTGATTCAGTAATAGAATGCTTGGCTAGCAACATGAGGTTCTGAATTTGCTTCTCAGATCTGTGCAAGTGAGCATATGCAGGACACACATGGGGGCAGGAAGTCAAGGCCTCCCCACCTCACCTTCTATCTCAGTAGAAGATAGGAACAAAAGAGTAAACTGTGTTTATCTTTTCTGTTAAGACTTTTATAGTCATGAGTTCAGGGTTCCCGAATCCTCACCCTATCTAGGATGTTCTGGAATGTTTTCTTACCTGGGTCAATGTTCACATTAACTTTAAAATTTGGATCATTAAAAGCTTTTTCAATTGCACACCAGTAAACGCCGCCATCGCTTATCCTCAGCTCCTCCATGGTCACTGTCACGATGAAGTCTGTCTGGTCATCCCTGATGGACACACGGTCCTTCTTCACCAACTGCTCCATATCCGTTTTAACCAGAATCTCACATGTATTCCAATCAGCTCCTTGGCTCCAGTACTTCTTGTAATTCTTCCAGAAGGAGTCATAACGGCACTGCACAGTCAAGGAGCCCCGCTCATGACCATTTACCGTGTTTGGACCTGTGATTCCATCCTGAGCAGTGGAGAAGCCTAGAAAATACAAACCCATGGACCACTGATCTCCCACTCCAAGGGCAGGACACAGTGCCCTGAGTCAACAAAGTATTCATAGCTATCAGTGAAGAGCTACCCTATTCCCCAGCCTGGACATTGTCATTCTATTTGTCAAAGCCTCAAAAACTGGCTGATGAGTGTTACAGAATGTTATTTTCACTAGGCAAAGATGTGTTTCATTTGTGAATGCTGCAGAATGTTACTTGAATTGTATGAAGGTGGGTTACACTTGCTTCTGCTGTATTTGCTTAATGAGATCAGGATGTGTGTTCCATGATGTACAGATGTGTTCCCTTTGTTTCCCTTGCCAGCCTAAGGCACCTGATTGGTATAATAAAGAGCAGAATGGTCAATACCAAGACAGAGAAGAGATAGGTGGAGCTGCAGGGAGGGAGAAGAAATAGGAGGAGAAATGTAGGGTCGGGAAGAAGAAAGCAAGAAGGAGGAGAGAACCAGGGACTTGACTGGGGCGTGAAGCCAGGCAGCCATCAGCCAGCCAGGCATATAGTCTGCAAGTAAGTGAGGAAAGTTAAAATTCTCAAGGAAAAGGTAGATAGAAAGGCAGGTTAATTTAAGTTAAAAGATTTATCCAGAAACGCGCAGAAGCTAAGACCAAACATTCAAAATACTAAGTGTGTGTGTGACGATTTGGGAAATGGTTGGTAGCCCCAAAGGGAAATCCTGATACAGATGGGTCCAGGTACAGGACTCAACAAATAAAATGGTGACCCTGAGCCATCATGGCTTCCTGCCATCCACCCCTCTTCATGTCCCAATGGCCAATCAAAGTCCATTTCATAGAACACGTTTGCAACCATCTTTGTGTTTCCCTGGGGCAGAGGAAGTATCAGAAGACCTTGTCCACAGGACATGATCCTGCCTTCATTTCAGTACCCATGACCCTCAGGAGGTCCATCTGAAGAACCACATCCTATGGCCATGCAGAGGCCACCTCGGGTAGTCCAGCAGTCTCTGGGGGTTCTGTAGGGAATCAACTTGGATGAATGCCTTGAAAGTTGACCTAAATGACAACACATAGTCTGATTGATTTCCGTGTGGTACAGAGCCCACAGCACACGGACCCTGTGCTGTCCTTCAGATCCATAAAAATCTGACCCCAAATCCTCTTAAGTTGGTTGCATGGATACTAAAGTGTGCTACAGAAATGCAATGAATAGCATTGTAGAAGGATTGGACTCCGTCATTTGCAGTCCACAGATGGAATCGGAGGAAGTGAAAGATTTCTGACACATTAAGAGGCTGCAACACGGTCTTATTTTATGAGGAAGCTAGAATGTAATTCTCTGGGGCCAGGGGCATGTGGAGATGGACAGGGCAGCGAAGTGTTTGCTGCGTAAGCAGGAGACCTGAGTTTGGATCCCAGAACACATGGGAACATCCAGGTGATGTGAGATGCGTCTGTAGCCATGAGAGCTGTGGAGTCAGTGCAGGATGATCCCTGGGATCACTGGCCATGTAGACTGAGTTAGTGAGCTCCAGGCTCAGAGGGAAACCCCGCCTCAACAAACAAGTTTGAGAGTAATAAAGGTACCCAATGCTCATCTCTGGTTTCCACATATACCTATATGTGTACCCACAAAATTTACCTGAGCACACACATACACACATGCATTCACCTCAAAGACACATTTTTTTTTAAGGAACAAAATCTGACTTCAGAGAAGTAATGAACAGAATAGAGAACAGAGAAGACACCAAATGCTTCTAGTACAAAGAAATGACAAATGCCTGTGACAGGTCAGCCACCATGACCTGACCGCCACATCCTGTACACACGTGAAATGCCACATGGTACTGTAGTGATATCTTAGTTGTATTTTTATAAATAAACCTTGCCTGAAGGTTAGAAAAGCAAAACAGCCAGCCTCTCTCTCAGTCCAAAACGGTGATCCTGCCTCCAGGAATCCTCAGAATGAGACTGTGTCTGAGAGCTGTCTCCTCCAGTCTTATATTCCTCTCTAGGGCTGGGATTTAGGGCGTGTACCACTACTGCCCGGTTTCTATGGCAAACTAGTGTGGTTACTGGGATTAAAGTTGTGTGTCACCACTGTGTGGTCTGTAAGGCTGACCAGTGGGGCTGTTTTACTCTCTAATCTTCAGGCAAGCTTCATTTATTAAAATACAAATGAAAGATCACTACATTGCACCCTATCAGTTTCTTTTTGCTTTTTGAGACAGGTCTCCCTATGTAGACCAGACTGTCCTTGAACTCACTGTGATGTCTTAAAGCCCCAGCTACTTACCTGCGAGGAAGAAGAGCAGAGCAGTCAGCAGCCACATGATCCTGTCTTCTCTCCTGTCCTTTGTGGCGACAGAAGCTAGCAACCTGCAAGAACTTGAAGCTCGGCTTGAATTTCCTTTAAATAATTCACTTCCTTGACAACTTCTCAATTTTGCATATTTCGAGAAAGAGGATGTCAGTCTTTGTTATGACCAAGTCATTGTCTGTCTGGTACAGCTAGACGAACAAGGAACTTCCTCTACTAGACAGATGCCATGATAGATCAATCAGAATTTGAACAATGGGTGTGACTCCCAAGGGGAGACACAGATAGACGGGACAATAGAGAGAGATGCCATCTATGGAATACAGCAAACCCCTCTGCTTACCTGGGACGTGCGTGAGTTGCAAGGGATCATAGGTAAGGAGAACATGTAACAGACCTATCTGTGGGCTGCCAGCTCCCGTATAATAACACAGAGACTTTTTATAAATTGTGAAAGTTTGACCTTAGCTTAGGCTTGTTCCCTACTAGCTGTTAATGCTGAAATCAATGCATTTGTATTAATCTACAATCTGTCACATAGCTTGTTCCTCTCCTCAGTATCCTAAGCCTGACATTCTCCATGTCTGACTGGAGAGTCTTGTGTCCCTCCAATTCTCTCTCAGAGTTCCTATCTCTGCCCAGATCCTGCCTAATCTCTTCTGTCTAGCTATTGGCCATTCAGGTCTTCATTAAGCCAATCATTGAGGAAGGCGAGAGATTCATCTTCACACAGTATATAGAAAGATTATTCCAACATTTTCCCCTTTTAGAAACCCAAAAAAATTCTCTTTCTCTAACATCAATAAACTATATACAATAAAAACCATTATCAGGTAAGATTTACATACCCAATGTCCAGTCCACTTGTATTTGGCAACTTTGGAGAAGGTATTCTATTATCTAGCCTATCTTGATGAGTCCAAAGTTTTATACCTAAATCACTTCCTATCATGAAGTTTTGTATTACCAGTCTAAAAATATTCTTTTAAACCTTAAAACATTTTCTTAGAAAGAAAACTTATGGTTTTATATTTCTCAACCTTTATGAACTTTAAATCTCTTTTGTGACAAGGAAAATTGTAAAGCTGTAATTATCTAGTTGCTGTTGGAATTCCTACAGCCAGTAGCCTTTAAGTTACCCATTCAGCTGGGCATGCTCTCATATGCTCTATATGCTGATGGAAAGCCTTGGTCTGGGACATCAAAGGGAATATGCAGGAACCAAAAACCTCTGCAGGTCCGAGAGTGAGTCTGGGACCCATGAGGGAGTAAGCCTGAGCCAGGAGCTCTGTAGGTCTGGGTGCACCTGAGTCTGGGAACTCTGATGGAGTAGACCAGAGCCAGAGTTCTTTACAGGACCAACCCCAAGCCAGAGACCTCTGCAGGAAGAGACCCAGACTAGGGACATTTACAGAAACAGGTCTGAGCCAACAACCCAGGCTTGAGCAGGCCTGAGACAGTAAAATCCAAGGGAGGGGAGTAAAGTCTGGGAGTGCTGGGAGATCTCTAGGAACACAGAGTGACCAATGGGGTAACTAGAACTGTGGCACTGACTGTAACATGAGAAACAACCACCTGAGTTTTGGATTCACTGACACCTAGAAGATTATTCAACAGAATCACAGCCAGCCCCTACCACACCTATTAGAGGAAAAGATGAGTAGAAAATGTAAGAGCACAAGCAACACCACAAAGAACAACACGACACCAGTAAAAACCTAAAGACCCTACAACAGCAAGACCTGAACAACCAAGTATAGATGAAGCAGAAAAAAATGACCTAAAAATAACTTCAGAAGAATGTTTGAAACTCTTAAAGAGAAAATGAGAAATTCCCTCAAAGAAATGGAGGAAAAGACAAACAAAAACTTGGAAGACATTAGCAAATCCCTTAAAGAACACCAAGAAAAAGCAATCAAACACTTGAAAGAAACTATTCAAGTCTTGAAAACTGAAATAGAGACAATAAAGAAAATGCAAGCCAAAGGAATTGTAGAAACAGAACTCATGAGACAATGATCAAGAACCACAAATGCAAGCATGAACAACAGAATACAAGAGATGGTAGAGAGAATCTCAAGCGCTGAACATACAATAGAGGAAGTAGACTCATCAGTCAAAGAAAACATTAAACCTAACAAAAACTTAATCGAAAATATCCAGGAAATATGGGACACCATGAAAAGGCCAAAACTAAGAATAATAAGTATAGAAGAGGGAGAAGAAATTCAACTCAAAAGCACAGAAAATAAATTTAACAAAATCATAGAAGAAACCGTTCCCAACCTAAAAAAAGATATGCCTATGAAGATACAAGAAGCTTACTCAACACCAAAGAGACTAGATTAAAAAAGTCCCCTCACCACATAATAATCAAAACACTAAACATACAGAGTATGAAAGAATATTTAGAGCTGCAAAGGACAAAAGCCAAGTAGCATATAAAGGCAGACCTGTCAGAATTACACCTGACTTCTCATTGGAAACAATGAAAGCCAGAAGGTCAAGCATTATGCAGACATTAAGAGACCACAGATGCCAGGCCAGACTACTATACTCAGCAAAACTTTCAATCACTATAGAAGAACAAAACAAGATATTCCATGACAAAACCAGATTTAACAAATAATTAGCTACAAACTCAGTCCTGCACAAAATACTAGAAGGAAATCTCCAACCTAAGGAAGATGACTACATCAACAAAAACACAGACAATTGATGGTCTCATAGCAGCAAATCCCAAAGAAGGGGAAAATACACAAATTAACACCATTACAATGAAAACTAAATTAACAGGAGATCGCAATCACTGGTCATAAAATCCATTAATATAAATGGACTCAACTCACCTATAAAAAGACATAGGCTAACAGATTGGATACGAAAAAAAATCTATCCTTCTGCATACAGGAAACATATCTCAACTTCAAACACAGACATCGTCTCAGAATAAAGGGTTGAGAAAAAAAATTCCAATCAAATGGACCTAAGAAACAAGCAGGTGTAGCTATCCTAATATCTAACAAAATAGCTATCAAACTAAAATCAATCAAAAGAGACAAAGAATGACATTTCATAACAGTCACAGGAAAAATCCATCAAGAGAAAATCTCAATACTGAACTTCTATGCCCCAGATACAAGGGCACCCTCATATGTAAAGGAAACACTCTAAAGCTTAAATTATACATTAAACTCCACACACTAATAGTGGAAGACTTCAACCCTCCATTCTCACCACTGGACAGGTCAATCAGACAAAAAAATGAACAGAGAAATAAGGGAATTAACAGATGTTATTATTCAAATGGACTTAACAGACATCTATAGAATATTTCATCCAAACAGAAAAAAATATATACCTTCTTCTCAGCACCTCATGGAACCTTCTCAAAAACTGACCACATACTCGGTAACAAAACAAACCTCCACAAATAAAAAAAAGGAATAACCCCATGTATCTTATCAGATCACCATGACTTAAAACTAGAATTCAACAGCAACACTAATTCCAGAAAGCCCACAAACACGTGGAAATTAAACAATGCTCACCTGAATCATCAATGGGTCAAGGAAGAAATAAAGGGAGAAATTAAAGACTTCCTAAAATTCAATGAAAATGACCACACAACATACCCAAATTGATGGGACACAAGGAAAGCAGTGTTAAGAGGAAAGTTTGTAGCACTAAATGCCTACATAAAGAAGCTGGAAAAATTCCACTACAAATGAATTAACAGAACATTTGAAAACTTCAGAACACAAAGAAGAAAACTCACCCAAGAGAACTAGACAGCAGGAAATAATCAAATTGAGAGCTAAAATCAACAAAATAGAAACAAAGAAAACAATACAAAGAATCAATGAGATAAGAGTTGGCTCTTTGGGCTGGAGAGGTGGCTCAGTGGTTAAGAGCATTGCCTGCTCTTCCAAAGGTCATGAGTTCAATTCCCGGCAACCACATGGTGGCTCACAACCATCTGTAATGAGGTCTGCTGCCCTCTTCTGGTCTGCAGACATACACACAGACAGAATATTGTATACATAATAAATAAATAAATATTAAAAAAAGAGTTGGTTCTTTGAGAAAATCAACAAAATAGACAAACCTTTATTCAAACTAACCAGAAGGCAGAGAGAGAATATTCAAATTAACAAAATCGGAAATGAAAAGGGAGACATAACAACAGACATGGAGAAATACAGAGACTCATCAGGTCATATTTTGAATACCTGTACTCCACAAAATTAGGAAACTTAAAAGAAATGGACTATTCCTGAATAAATATCACTTACCAAAATTAAATAAAGACCAGATAAGCAAATTAAACAGACCTATAACGTTTAAAGAAATAGAAACAGTCATCAAAAGTCTCCCAGCCAAAAAAAAAAAAGCCCAGGGCCAGATGGCTTCATCTCAGAATTCTACAAAACTTTCAAAGAAGAACTAATACCAATACTCCTCAAATTATTCCACACAATAGAAACAGAAGGAACATTGCCAAACTCTTTTTATGAGGCTACAATTACCCTGATACCCAAACCACAGAAAGACATTACTAAGAAAGAGAATTACAGACCAATCTCACTCATGAACATTGATACAAAAATACTCAATAAAATACTGGCAAATCTAATCCAAGAACAGATGAGAACCATCATCCACCACGATCAACGTGGCTTCATTCCAGAGATGCAGGGATGGCTCAACATATGAAAATCTGTCAACAAAATCCACCATATGCTGTAGGAAGACCTGCAGCTTGTGATTATCCACCTATTGGGGCGTGGCCTCTTATACTATATATGCGGACATAGAACCTGCATCAGTCCCTTTTTCCCTTTCTCCTTTCCACGGGTTGCTCATTTCAATTGCAGGATTCAACCGGTCGAGCAAAGGATTCTGATTTGTGAGTTTACCCCTACATAAATAACTATTTCTCATTTCTGAGCTAGTGTGGGATTTCTTTCAAACATCCCTTCATCACTTAGTTCATTCCACACTTGGCGCCCACGTGATTTAAAACTTCACACCCACCGGGTGGACTGCTTGGTCCTTCCATGGCCCAGACAGGCTAGCTTTTGCCCAAGCAGTTTTTTTGTAGAATCCCCATCACAGCAGAGTTTGCTGCATGTGGCAACTTGGAAATTTTCCAGGCACACATATGCACAAAGAAGGTAGATGGAAACCTATAGGAATGAAGGACCTAAAAGAAACTAAGCAAGCTATCATAACTTACGGCTTGCATTCCACACTTGTTAAAGAGATGATAAAGACTTGGGCTTCTTACGTCAGGGCAATCTCCCATGACATTTTGCAGTTAGTTTCAGCAGTCCTGGATGACAGACCTTCCTTGATGTTTAGAATTTATTTCAGAGAAGAGTCCAAAAATATGGAATAACAAGGAAAAGCAAAAAGCCTTGAGATTTCCCAAGATCAAAAGACCCTTTGCTGACCCACAGGTCCAAGCTCTTTATGATAAAGAAATCTTTTCCCTATGCCACAACGCAGCCTTAAATGCTTGGGACAGGATTAACGAACTAGGAAAAAGAATTGAATCATATCCAAGGGTTAGACAGGGACAGAGAGAACCCTTTACTGACTTTTTATAAAGATTAAGTAAGGCTGTACAAATAGGAATAACAGACCCAGATGTTAGACGTGTGATTTTTGAATCTCTGGCTTCAATAACTGGAGCCCATATATTTTATACTGATGCAAATAAATCATGGAAGGCAGGTTACAAATCAGAAGAATTAAGTAAGGTAGAACAAAGCCCTTATAATTCTGTCCATAGGGCAGAATATATGCCATTCTCATGGGGCTAAGGGATTTTAAAGAACCTCTTAATATAGTTACTGATTCACAATATGGGAGGAAGGAATGAGAGGTGAGGAAGGAGGTGAACTGGTCACGATGTAAAACAAATGAATAAATTTAATTTTTAAAAAAGATGCTTAATGAATGAAAGAGTGAGAACCACACTGCCATCTACTGGTGTATCTGCTTAGAACATGAAGACTCAAGGTGCGGGAAGACAGCCTGACAGACAGAAGGAGTCTTAAAGAATTTGCACCTGGGACATTAAACTGCTACAGAAAGGGTCTTAATCTAGGGCCATCTCATTGCTTGTTATAAGGACAACATGACCTGATGGTGCCACAACACATAGGCTACCGTTAGAAGACAGGCAGAAGAGTTTTATCAACCCTGCTGACTGGTCTCCACCTCATCCCTGCTGGCCCATCTGTGCACCTTAGGTCAGTCCCCATTCCTGCTGGGGACACCATATGTCCCCAAGCATGTATCCGCAGATATGAAGTCTCCAAGCTCTAGTCAGTGTTCACAGCCAACCTCTGAGGTTCTGCATGGACCAACAAACATATTCTGTTTTGTTCACAATAATTTAAGGGAAATTTGTTTTCTATGTAAGTTCCACTGTGGGTGTTCTGCCCTTGGTACGGAATCCATAGTTTGGTGGCTTCATCTCTCCCTGGGCTCTAGGTAATGGAACAAGAAATTATAAGTAAATCACAATTCAGGAGCTCCAATGTTAAATAAAAAGCTACAAAACTCAGTTCTGTTGCCTATGAGTCTAGCAAGAAACAAAACAAAACAAAAAAGACGGCGAGACCCTGTCTCACGTGAATAAGTGATAGAGTGAGATAGTTCTATGACCTCTTCATGCTCATGTGAGTACCTGAGTGCACACCCATATACACACACGGAGGATAGGAGGAGGAGTAAACAAATATGTAGATGGAAACTTTAATACTTTTTTAAAAGTTGGAATCTGGGTGCTGGTGGTGTACGCCTTTAATCTCAGCACTCAGGAGGCAGAGGCTGATGGATCTCTGAGTTCAAGGCCAGCCTAGTCTACAGAGCAAGTTCCAGGACAGACTCCAAAGCTACACAGAGAAAACCTATCTGGAAAAACCAAAAACCAAACCAAACCAAAACAAAACAAAAACAAAAAACAAAAATTAGAACAAATAAATGGCAATTAATGCCTTTTTATAAACAATATGAAACATAAACTTTAAAAGAAATGTAAAAGAATTGTGTGCCAACAAAATTTAAAATGTTTAGGTCAGGGAGATGGCTAAAGGGCTTGTCATGTAACCATGACGACCTGAGTTCAGGTCCCCAGCACCAACATGCAACCTGGGTACAGTGAGTCTCATTTGTAACTTCAGAACTGAGGGTGGGGGAAGCAGAGCCAGGGGATCCCAACGTCGACTTTTCAGAAATGTTCCTTCCTTTTTGAAGTTTTATTTTTATTTTACACATATGAGTGTTTTGTCTGTGTATATGTATGTCCTCTGTGTAAGTGCAGTGCCCACAGAGGCCAGAAGGAGGCGTTGGATCCCTCAAGATTGGTTCAGAGACACCTGGTGTGGATGCTAAGAACTGAACTTATTTCCTCTGCAGAAACAGCCTCTGCTCTTAACCTGGGAATTATCTAGCTCAGATGGGATTTTTTTTTTTTTTAGGAATTTGATCGTCTAGCCCCAAGATGTGCATAGAAGGTGACCCAACTATTGTTTACAAAGACTTGCTGATGTCCAAGAAAAGAGATATGACATCAAGAATGAGACCGAAGCTCTAGCAAAGACACAGCAGTGCACCTGTTTAGAGTAAGAAATCAGACGAACTAAACAAACCAGAGAAGCCAGGGGGAAAATCCAAGCGTATCCAGAAATCAGTGTCTTCTTCAAATTGGCTGGCATTGCAGGGTGCTAAGAATATGTGGGCAGTGTTAAACTGAGAGAAAGAAATATTGATTATTAGTTCAGTCTTGATGGATAAATCAATAAAAGGCAGACACGGTGGCTCACACCTTTAATCCCAGCACTCAGAAGATAGAGACAGGTAGTCTCTGCGAGTTCAGGTTAGCCTGGTCTATATAGTTTCAGGATATCTGGGAGACTCTAATGCATCTCTGTGTCCTCTTGCTTGTTCTGCATGACAGGCTTGTAATGTTCATCCAGGCATGGTAGTGCAGGTGAGTCTCTGTGAGTCAGAAGCCAGCTTGGTCTACATAGTGAGTTCTCCACCAGGGCTCTCTGTGTTGCATTGGCTAGAATGGAATTTGCTCTGTAGTCCAGGCTGGTCTTAAGCTCAGAGATTGGTAACTTTGCCTCCCAAGTGTAGGGACTAAAGGCAGGACCCACCATGCCTGGTACATTTCTCTTCTTTTCTGACAGGATCTCTCAGTGGCCTGGAGCTTGCCACGTGGCTAGGCTGACTGTCCAGCGAGTCCCAGGCATCCTCCTGTCTCCACCTCCAGAGATCAGGTATTTTAAGTATATGCTACTATGCCTGATATGTGTGTGCTGTGACTCGAACTCAGATCCTTGTGTTTGCAAGACGAGCACTTTACCAGCTGAGCCGTCTCCCCAGGCTCTGGATGTATTTGTGTAGTAACCTCTGGACAGGAAACTAACTCTGTCTCAGCAGGTCTGTGTCTGGGGGTCCTTGCTGTGCTCCAATGTTTAGATGAGCAACCAGCACTCACAAGACACCCCACCCCCAGGTCAGCATGGGATTGGGGGATGCAGGAGATGCCTAAGGAGGGGATACAAACCCTTCTCTCTCCACCCTGTCAGCATTACCTCCCCCACCCCACACGATCCAGAGGGCTCAGGGATATGGGTTCCTCACCAAGGTTGTAGGCTGGGACCAGGAGTTGTGTCCTCTGTGGTCACGCTGGGCTGAGTGTGCACCAGTGAGGATGTGGGAGACCCCCGGGTGTTTGTTACTTCCTCAGGGGCAGAGCCTGTGATAGGAGTGAAAAATAGAACCACAAGACAGTCTCAGTCACCGCCACCCATCTCCTACCCACTGACACCTCTGCAGCTCTGCTTCACACAGGACCCTAGGGACATGGTTGGCAGCTGTCCCATAGCTTGTAGGCTGATGACCACACCAAGTCCTGGCCAGGGCCTCCCTTCCTATGGTGCATTGTGACTGGTTGGCACCTTCACACTTGAGGCCAGCCTTCCTACAGAGGAGAGTTTAAGTGTCAGTGTCAAGACATGTGTTACCAGGTCCCAGCTGGCCTCAGTC